CGTACACATTCATTAGAACAAGCGTCTACTCCAATGATTAACTTGTTACAGTCGTGGATAACTCCTACTCAGGTAAGCAGATTTTATTTTACTCTGAATATCTAAGGATGTCACATCTCCACCATCTTACAAAACATTTTTATAGAATGAAAGAAATATTTATTTCAGACTTGCACAAAAAATAACAAAGATTGAACCTGTTTGAGGTCAAAAAAGGCTTTGCCCTTGATTACATACAGGTGTAACTTCTGTGAATATGTTACAGATGATAGATAACGCCACAAGGTGTATTTACACACTTTTTTAGTCATGGTTTTTATTGCAGTTGTCTTCAGAATGCGTACTTTGTACAGAGTGTTTGACACTGCTTCAAGATAGAGCAAACACAATCAGTGAAGGATTGCCTGCTTTTGGTCATAGAAAATTATGTTTTTCTTGTGGCAATTCTATTCTACGTGCAACTAGAACATATCCTGTAAGACAAGATCGACAAGAGAGAAACATTTTAGTTAGACGTGTTCCGCTGCATTTGGTAAATATTTTTATTTATGTTGCTATATAAAAAAAAATCAAATTCTTTTTAATGTTCTACTTTTTTCCAATCTTCTATAGTTGATTGTGATAATACTATTATTAGATGTGTTTATTATATTGAGTCCCGATAAGTGAAGCTTTCACAAATAAATAATGTTGTAGGTATTAGATAATATTATCTCTTTTGACACAATTATTGCCCGACCATTATCATATGTTCCTAACAGTTACATCACAAACATTTATCAAGCTTATAACCTATTGTGAAATATTTTGTATTACATGTTTAATCATGTTATTTTTTAGATCTCAAGGTTGGAAAGAGTATGTGCTGCTTGCTGGAGATCAGCTGTAAGAGAAGTGCAACGTCATGATCAGCACGACTCCAATCGCCCTGGTCTGTCAGATGCTGGACCAAGTGGGGATCTCAATATTCCTGAGCCACCCCCTCTTCCACAACAAAACCTACACACTGTTACACTACACACTACACACCAAGTTAGATCAAATTCAACAATTATATCTTCTACGTATAAGCGTGCCGCTAGCACATCCAATCACTGTATATTTGTTAATTGTTTTGAAACAGAACGTTTACTGATACCCTCATCTATAAAGAATCTGTTATTACTTAATTATAAATTGTATGTGCCACCGGCAGCACGAATCTGTCGTCACCACCTGAATCATGGCCGTTGGAGCGAATTATCTTCCCAGTTAAGAGATTTTACCGGTAGTCAATTCGACACAATTATGAATATGATGCAGCGAGCTGCCTATTACCATATAGATTTCTCAAATATTTTAATTATGCCTGCATATTTGTGTCAGTTTTGGCTTGGCATGAACTCTGATCAGTTTTATGATTTGTTAAACTGTATCCCAAGTCTAGCAGGACAAGTACCAAATGCCACGATTGCTTTAAGTATTTACTTAGTTAAGCTGAGAACTGGGGATAGTAATGAAAGGTTGGCAACTCTCTTTAATAAATCTCGTGTCACCTTAGAACGCTTAATGAATAAGGCCAGATAGTGTTTAATTAATGAGTTTGTTCCATTATACTTAGGATTTAATCATATGACTGTTGAAGATGTTGCTTCTAGAAATAGAATAATACCAGAAGGATTATTTGGTAATCCTGATTTGCCACCTAATTCTAAACCAGCAATAGTCATATGTGATGCTACTTATGTATTTATCCAAAGTAGTTCTAATTACTTATTTCAAAAACAAACATACAGTTTGCAAAAATTGGATAATTTGGTGATAAAACCATTTATGATAGTTTCTTGTGATGGTCATATTGTGGATTGCCTCGGGCCATACAAGGCGACCACTAATGATGCTTCAATTACAAGTTTAAAGTTATGTAATGAGGAATCTTGTTTAAGATCATTTTTCCGAAGGGGTGACATTTTCATCCTTGATAGAGGATTTAGGGATGTAATTAATGAACTCCAAAGGTATGGCTTTGTAGCACATATGCCAGAGTCTCTACTTGAGAATGAGCATCAATTAACAACCCAGCAGGCAAATCGATCTCGTTTTGTTACTATGGGCCGCTGGGTTGTAGAAGTGGTTAATGGGAGGGTGAAAAGGGATTTTAGACTCTTTCGTCATGTTTTTAACAATAGAGCGGCTTTGCACCTAAAGAATGATTTTAGAATCTCTTGTGCCCTAATTAATAAGTTTCATGTTGTTATAGAAAACCCACCTGAAGCCTTGGAATATGTAAGAATTGCTAAAGATAGGCTTTCACTAGAGAACCATTTAGCAACTTATGTTGAACAGGCAAATCTCAATAGAAGGAGAGTGAATTTTCAGATGATTAACAGCAATAATCCACATTTAGATAGATTTCCTCAATTGACAATAACTGATTTAAAACGGTTAGCTCTTGGGACCTACCAACTCAAACAGGCTACATCTTATTATGGGGAACACATCCGTCAGACTGGTATTTATTCAATTGAGGTGATTAATACTCTTGATGATGATGTACCTTTGATATTAGGGCTTAATAATTATCTCTTAAGAGGTAGGATTAAATCTAGACATGTCAACAGTCGTACTTATCACACGTATTTATTGATTAGCAGAGATGATGCTGTGGCTAACACATTAGATACCATAGTAGGCTATTGCTGCAGCTGCCTCATCGGTAAGCGAACAGTTGGCTGCTGTGCTCATATAATGACGATAGTGTGGTATTTGAGCTGGGGACGGTATAATGACGTAACTGAGCCGGCATCGGCTTTAGATAATTTTTTTCAGGAGTATGATGAATGAATGATTTAAGTAAATGTATATTAAATAAAATATAAAATATTTTATTTAATATACATTTTGATTTCTTATAATTACACGAACACTACACATTGAATAAAACTATTTTTACATATTAGCAACCGTGGTCACGGGGGACTGAGGTAGGTGATTGACGACCCGATGTCAGAGTTAAACCGGAGTACCTTCAGCTTTTTTAATTAATAATTTTAGTCCGATTTACACAGAATGATAGTTGAACGATAGTGTCTTGAAGTTTTGCAGTGGTATGCTTGGGTTTAGTTTTAATTTTATGAATTACATAATCCCAAGCAGGTGGTAGTACCCAGCCTCCCTCTCTATTGAAATTAGGATGTTTTTTAATTTCAATAGCCTCACGTATCATCCTTTTACGTATCAAGCATACCACTGAAAGACCTCAAGACATAGTTAAAAGCAACCGAAAAACAGCTGGAAAGCAACCGAAACGTCGGGAATATAAAATAAGTTAATTAAACGCGATAAAATCCGTAAAAATAGTTTTATTCAATAATATACATTTACTTAAAACATTTGACTTTTCGACAAAAGCTATTATTAAAAATGAACTTGTTTGTTTTATTTTTTCTATCCCTTATTTAATTAATTTACGACAATAATATGTCCATGAGTAATATATCTGTCATGAATAGTATTTTAAGATTATTAAAGGGTTATTGTTCAAGACGCTCTCTAGACTCCATGAGCGTGTTTTTCAGTCTGGTCACCCTTATGATTATGTTATATTGATATTAGTTTGGTAGTGTAATCACAGTAATCATCATTACAGCCCCTCACAAGTCCACAGCTGATTATAGGCCTCCTCAAAGCCCACACAAGCCTCGAGCAAGCAGTCTCACAGGTGGTGTTTAGTGGGTAGGCACTTAGGTTTCGCAGTGAGTCCCACATAACCACGCAGCCGGCTGTCGTGGTATGCTTAGAGCATTTACCACCTCCCTTCCCGCTTCCCTGAGGGTAGCCCTTTTCATTGCTTCTGGGCGCAAAAACAAAAAAAAAACGCGCAAATCTTCGAGTTTCAGTCACGCATCCTGTAGCACGGCTATATGTTGATATTACTCTTAATTCTTACTGATATTAGTGGATAACGCTGTTTTTAGAGCCATAAAGTTTGTCTGTGTTGAACGTGTCTATTTAAAATTGGTTTTGGTAGTGTCGAAAAAATAGACCTAGTTTTTAGGTTATTTTCGATTTTATAAAATAACTCAAAATCCGGGTTTTTGTAAAAAAAATAACTTTTGTAGGATTTAATATGATCAGTGTAGTTCATAGAAAACAAAGTTTGATTTTGATGCAACATGGTACGGGATTCCATACATTAATGGGCATTCTCCTTTAAAATAGTCACTGATCACAGACCTTTGGTCTGGCTTTTTAATGTCAAGGATCCGAGAAGTAGATTAATTCGTTGGCGCCTCAAGTTAGAGGAATATGATTATGAAATTGTATATACACAAGGAAAACAAAATTCAAACGCCGATGCTCTTTCCCGCATACCCATTCACGCCTTAAATTCGAATGTAGTCCTTAATAAACTCAAATATGAATCATATTTTAAAAAGCAATTTACTAGTTCCATTTCCACAAATACTGTAATCGAAGAACATCAAGAAGCATTACACCTTTCTAAATTAAATAATATTGTTTGCCCCGTATCCCTCGATTTTGATGAATCTATCCCATATTGTAAAAATATTCTATCCCAGTTGCAAAACTCTGAAAGCTTAATAAACTCAGAACGAGAACCTTACACTATCTCTTATATTAAGGAGAATAATAAAACGTTTTATTTCTTGTATACAAAAATCCACCATTACGAAGAGTTAACATACCGAAATATTTACAATTTATCAATGCAACTACGCGACAATATTATAACAAGAAATAGCCAAATCACTGACTTAGCCACTTCCGATTTTGCTGACCCATTCTCTAAACTATCCTATACAAAAATATACAATATAATTGCCTACATATTTCACAATACTAATATTAAAATTCATATATACCGAAATCAAATTATTTACCCTACTCCTGCCGAAATTCCACGAATTCTCAAAGAAAATCACGACTCAACAATTGCTGGTCACCCCGGAATTAAAAGGATGTTAAACCGCTTAAAAGATCTATATTTTTGGAAAAACATGCGCTCCGACATAGAAAATTATGTTAAAAATTGTAAGTTGTGCCAAGTAAATAAACCACTAAGAACATGTAATAAGGCTCCAATGGTGATAACTTCTGCAAGCACAAAACCATTCGAAAGATTAGCTCTAGATATAGTCGGTCCACTACCCGAAGCTGGTTTGCAAAACTTCAAATTCATATTAACCCTACAAGATGACCTAACCAAATTCTTATGTGTATATCCAATGATAACTTCCAGCAGTGACGAAGTAGCTCGTACATTAGTTCACTTTATCTCTCTGTTCGGAATTCCCAAAACGATATTAACAGATCTCGGCGCATGTTTCACGTCGAAATTATTTAAACAGGTAATTGAAATATTTAAAATAAAACCCTTACATGCTACCCCCTATCACCCACAAACAAATGGTGCCTTAGAGCGTAGCCATGCTACACTCAAGGAATATCTTAAATCTTTTGTTAACGAAAACCAGAATGATTGGCATTGTTATTTAGCCACTGCAGTATTTTCCTACAACACTACCCCTCATACCACTATTACATATACACCCTATGAATTACTATATGGGCATAAACCAACAATACCTAATTCTTTATATAATACGAGTAACGATACAACTTATCATGAATACATCCGCGCATTACAATATCGCATGAATCTTAGTCGACAAAAGGCATTAGAACACATAATCAAAAGTAAAGAAACATCGAAAAAATATTATGACACAAATAGTAAAAATATATCCTACAAAATAGGTGATATGGCTTATTTAAAATGTCACCATAGACTTCGCAAAGCCTTATCCCCTATCTGGAAAGGTCCTTATAAAATAATTAAATTAAATGGCAAACATAATGTAACTCTTCTCATAGGTCGTAAGCATGTGAAATACCATATTAATGAAATTAAACCAGCTCATCCCTAATTTCACTTTATTTCAGGGCCATAAGCCACCAATTCAACGCTGAAACTCAAATTCTACCTATTTATAATAGTCCAGGTATTTATTTCGATCAAATAACTACAATTAATTTTTATAACGATTTTTGGAATGTTGTAACGCATATAGACGTAGTTTCACTTAAGCCACATCTAGACAATATACATTCACTTATAATCAAAACTGCGACGCTCTGCAAAAACCGTGGTTTCGTTGAATGTAATGATATCATAAGCCCTATTGAAGTATTATTAAATTCAAATTTTGCTAAAGTCGAATCTTTGTCGTATATAGTTTCTACCGAGAAACAAACAAGGCATAAACGAGCTTTAGAATTCGGTGGAGAATTTTTGAAATTCTTTTTTGGAACTCTAGATGCTGATGATGCACGAAAGTACGATGCAGCCATTAGCGCTTGTCAAAATAGCGAATCCGAACTACTAAAACTAATGAAGGATAATATCCACATAATTCAATCGTCTATTAATGTTTTTAACTCAACAATATATAAACTAAATATGAATGAAAATAAATTAAATTCTCAAATAAATTCTTTAAATATTGTGTTATCCCAAATTGTCAAAAACAATGACCAATTATCACACATCTCTAAAATATATGCTTTACTTAATATAATAGAAAGCTCTTTGGCCACTATTTCTAATTTCTTAGATAATGTACTAAACTCTATCTTATTTTCTAAGGTAAACATTTTACATCCTAGTGTGATAAGTCCCACAAACTTATTTCGCGAGCTATTAAAACAGAGTAACTATATAAATAAGCGACTAGATTTTCCAGTACCATTAACGGTTGAAAATATACATACTCTGATAGATATTTCAAAACTCACATCTTTCTATTATAATCAAAGAATAATTTTCATATTACGCATACCACTGATTTCTTCTTTAAAGTTCACTTTATACAAATGCATACCCTTACCAACTCCTCATAATCCTAGTAATCCTAATTCTTTCGCCCTAATTCAACCCACCAAGCCTTATCTTGGAATAACAGAAGATAGACTTAGTTATAGTTTGTTAGATAATTTAAATGATTGTAATATTATCAGTAATGAATATTCTATATGTCCTTTAATTTCTATATTTTCTACAATAAAGAACCCATCTTGTGAAACGAAATTGTTAACTGAAGTAACGTTATCCTTGCCATCTCAATGTAACTCTAAACTTTTATATGGACAAATCGATGTATGGTATAAAATAAGTAATAATAAGTTTATCTATGTACAATCTGAAAAATGTAAATTAACTATAAAATGTAATAATATAATACAAGATTTTACTATTTTAGGAACAGGTATCCTAAGTTTAAATGAAAGCTGTATTGGTTTTTCTATGACAATTCAATTATTACCATCTACAACTAAATCTATTAAAATTGAAAATCAAATGAATTTAAACTTTAATATTACAGAAGACGATTGTTGTAATAAGGAAGTTTTAAATAAATCGATTCCCTACTTATCCCCTATATCTCTAACTAGCCTAGACATGGACGCTCTAAAATATTCTTATCACTCCTTAAATAACTTAGAAAGTGAGATCAATAAGGTTCAAGAACAATCTCACATTATTAAATATGGTAATTACTATTCATCGTTTACATACTTCTTGATCATTTGTTTTATTTTATATGTTTCCTATAAAATGTTTTATTGCTTTATTAAGAGAAATAACGATTCTTGCTGTTGTATACAAATATTTAATCAGTGCAATACACGACGAATTGTTAAACACGAATCAAAAGTTAGTAATTCTATTGAGTTAAGTGAAGTCTCATCATCAGACGATGATAAAAAGGATTCTATATCTTTACCCAACATGCCAGTGCAAAATCAAATGAAAAGAACATTTGGTAAATTCAACTTATCAAATCGAAACTTATGTAATAATTAATTACTATATTACTTGACTATACTTATACCATAAATTTTATGTTACATTATAATTAAGTTTATATTTCTTTTATTTTATACACTGTGTCTTAGATATTAATATTATTAAATGTTTATATTTGAAATAAAAAAAAAATTATTAATTCAACGCTGAATATTCTACTATTTCATTATTCACTGAATCTTTTACCATTTCATTGTTCACTGAATCTTATAAAAATATACTAGTTCATAATGTCAATAAATAAGTTTAATAATTTTGTGAAGATATTGTTTGAGAATAGTTTTATTTTACTATGTCTTTGTATCAACTCTATTTGATTTTATAATAATAATAAATAATTGAACTAATTCTATTTAACTATTTTATGATTATTTTTGTATTCAAATTATTTCTAATTTTCACTGTGTTGTTTGTAAGACTCTGCTCATCCCTTATTTAAAAGAAGGATGAGCTCCGTCAAAAGGGGGGAGATGTTATGTCCAACCCTATTTAGTTAAAAGCGCTGACCCGATTATTTTATTTCGTATATAAGCGTAGTGTTTGAGGTAATCGAGGCAGTGCAGCTCCAACCCATATTAAGTGCATATCGCACACGCCGTTCGCGGCTTTAGTACATTTTTTGTATTATTTTAATATTGGGGAAATAAACCAAAAGAACTTCCGGGATTGGGTGTAAAAGTTTTTTTTTTAAAAACACCTTCAGAGCGGCCCTCCTAACAGTTCGTCGACGTATTTTCCAAGTACGGACAAGCCTATCATCTACACGACGGTACAGCCATCAGCGTTTTACGGGCCTTACTAAAATATTGCACGCACCATGGTTTACCTTTAACTATAGTAACTGATGGCACTGAATTCACTAACCAACTATTTTCCGAATATTTAAGAATGCACAATATTAACCACCATAAAATACTTCCCCATTCACCAAACGACAATGGAAACGTTTCCATTCAACTCTTCTCGAACATCTTAGATTACTAAAACTTCAGCGTAAAGACGAGCCAGCTGTAAACCTAGTACCATACGCGATTATCGCTTACAATAGTTCAGTACACAGTTTCACGAAATGCAGGCCCTTCGATATAATAACAGGTCACTTTGAGTGCGAGGTCGTGGGCGAGGGCCCACTTCGCCCAGCTAGCTACGCCACTGCTTACAATAATGTATATGACACAATTAACAACACAAAACAAATTAGAAATAGCTAGGTAGTGATCACCTCATTCCCAGGGGTTATTATCATCCATAAATTCCTTAATATTATAATAACCCCTTTTTATACAAACTTAGTTTATTAAAGTTTTTGAACTTCGAGCAGGTTTTGTATATTTTCTGGGATTTTATTAAGTTGTGTGTATGTTGTGTGTAAGTGTGTGAATGTGATATATTAAGTTAATGCTCTCATTGAATGATAACAATATTGTGAACACAATAAAATATTTTCTCAATTAGCGAGTAACTTTTTATGGGTTTTGTTGGTTGAAATTGACTTAAAAAAGTATTTCTTAACGTTAAATTGTTGAATTTTTACTTTAAAATAAATAAATATGTTAACTACATGACTATTACAATTACTGTTTTTCATTAACATGCATTACCTATCTGTATATGTATAACAAAACATACCAGATTTCAGTATACAACAAAAAAAATAACATGTCTAAATAATGATTTTTTATATTTACGCGAACGAGAAGATGGCTGGGTCTACCATCGGCTTGGGATCCCATAATTAATAAAATTAAATCCCAACCCAAACATACAACTGCAAGACTTCATGATACTGTAAGTTCATACTGCGTAGATCGAAACAAAAAATAATAATTTTTAATCTGGAGGTAGCCGTGGTTAACTATGACATTGGGACGTTTTACACCTCAGTCAACCCCCCCCCCCCCCGTGACCAGGGGTGCTGTAAAGTGCTCGAAACGTCGGGAATATAAAATAAGTTAATATACGCGATAAAATCCGTAAAATTAGTTTTATTTAAATGTGTAGTGTTCGCGTAAATATAAGAAATCATTATGTTAACCAGTACGGACTGGTAATTGTAACTAAAATTCGCCGATTAGAAGATCTCATGACCAAGCGCGCAATATATCTAACAGCATTAAATTTCTTGAAGAGATACCGTAACCATAATCTCATTCCTACCTGTGTCAAAATATCCACTAAAAAGGACATTCGAGGAAGCGCTAAGATCTTAAATCAGGCAAGTAAAAAGTTGTTACGAACGGTAATCCAACAAAAACGCTCCGATCTACATACCATAAACAAATCCATAGACACATCAATCAGTGAGTTAAAGGCAGTTTTAACGACATTTGATTATAATGTTTTCATCGAAACGTTAAATAAATGAGAAATTAATAAATATAACGAATGCAAAAACAAACATATAGTAAAATATCAAAAATTAACGACCAAATTAAATGTCAAACATCTGTGTCAACGTGAGAACGAAACGCAACCGTTGACTACGAACGCGGATCATAGATTAAGCGCGGTCTATAATCTGTCAAAACAAACTTTGGATGATGCAACAGTTAGAGTATTATCGAAAGGCCTTAATTTTGCTATAACACCGAAAAAATTACCGTACGAAGAAATTATCTGTAGTGTCGAGGACTGTTTATTTAAAAAAATAGGCGAAAGGAAGATTTGGAAGTGATACGTCAAGACATTTCGTCTATGTTACGTCGAAGTTCAACACCAAAACCGAATCTACCTAAAGACGAATTTAAAGCGTTGAATAACCTACGCAATAAACCAGAACTCACTATTCTTCACGCAGATTAGGGAAATGCTACGGTAGTCATGGATACGTCGGATTATAATTCTAAAATACAAGAAATTTTGTCGGATGCAAGTACTTATAAAAAGGTTAAAAATTACCCAACAAATAACACACTTAAAACTACTAGTGATCTCATAAAGAAACACTCCGAAAAATTAAACCTAGACGTAAAATCGATAATACCTACGTGTGCCAAACCACCCAAGTTGTATGGGTTACCAAAACTACACAAGCCCAATGCTCCACTATGTCCCATAGTGAGCCAAATCGATTCACCAACTTACAGATTGCCTCAACACTTAGCGAATATACTCTCACCGCTCAAGGGACATACAAGAGCACACAAAGGTTTCCTACCATTTTGTATGCGAGATTAAATACCTACATCTGGCAGACAATGAAACTATGGTCAGTTTTGATGTGCAGTCTCTGTTCACATGCTTACCTGTTGAAAACTGCATCTCGATTGTTACTAGAAGGCTAGAGGAAAACAACATGCCCGTAGAATATGCAGTATTACTCAGACACTGCCTTACATCTGGCTACCTATTGTGGAAGGAAGAGTTCTACAAGCAAGTAGATGGAGTGGCGATGGGCTCACCTGTATCTCCCATTGTCGCCGATATATTCATGGAGGACTTTGAGGAGAAAGCCCTGCTTACTTCTCCCGTAAACCCAAGATTCTACAAGCGGTACGTAGACGACACTTTCACAATTCTACCTTTAGATAAAGTAACTGCATTTTTAGACCATCTTAACTCCTTAAATTCTAAAATTCAGTTCACAATGGAGTTAGAGGCAAACAATTCTTTAGCTTTTCTAGATGTGTTAGTAATTCGGAATCCTGATAACACCTTGAGCCATATTGTATATAGAAAAAAGACCCATACAGATAGATATTTAAACGGTGATTCTCACCACCATCCTTCACAGTTAGCTACCGTGGGTAAATCTTTGTTTTAGAGAGCACGAGGGATCTGTGACAGTAATACACCTGGTCGCCGAGCTCCAACACGTCAAGCAAGTTTTGCACGACAATAAGCTTCGGGTCCCACGCCTACGTCACAGTGAACGAGTGAAGCCGGCCACAGTCAAGCGAGTGCCTGCTGTACTGCCATATGTCAGAGGTGTCACTGACAAGATTGGCTACATCTTGAAGCGTGTTTGCATTAAAACATACTTCAAACCGCCGAAGAAGATAAGTCAGTTTTTACTATCAGTCAAGTGTAATATTCCTCTGCAATATGCAGGAGTGTACAAGCTTGATTGTGAATGTGGTCTCTCTTATATAGGACAAACTAAAAGATCCATAAAAACCCGCGTTAATGGACACATAGCTGTGTGAAGAATCGACGCTCCGGGAAGTCTGCAGTCTGTGAACACGTACAGAATCGCCCCCGTCGCTTCATTAGATTTGATAGACCACAAATCCTCGCTAAAGAACACCGATTCCTTCCAAGGATGATTCGCGAGGCTATTGAAATCAAAAAACATCCTAATTTCAATAGAGAAAATGGCTGGGTGCTACCATCTGCTTGGAATCCCATAATTAATAAAATTAAATCCCAACCCAAGCATACAACTGCAAGACTTCATGATACTGTAAGTTCATAATGCGTAGATCGAAACAAAAATTAATAATTTTTAATCTGGAGGTAGCCGTGGTTAACTATGACATTGGGACGTCATACACCTCAGTCCCCCCCCCCCCCGGGACCATGGGTGCTGTAAAGTGCTCGAAACATCGGGAATATAAAATAAGTTAATATACGCGATAAAGTCCGTAAAATTAATTTTATTTCAATGTCTAAATAAGTTTTGGTTTTGGTTTTGGTTTCGGCCGAAACTGACACCCAGACCGAAGGTTCGGTTTTGGTTTCAGTTGAAAATTCTTTTTCGGTCGGACAGTAAAATCTAACGAATCGCCATATGTTAAAATTCAATATCTAGATGTTAAAATCACATAAATACAATGAAGAAACAAGGACAAAGAAACACTCGATTTTCATAAAGAAAAGAAATATATAATATAATTATATCGATATACTCAGTAAGAGCCTCAAAAAAAAAATTAAATTATAGGTACCTATATACTTTATTACGCTATCTTCGACCAACGCCATTTTGCTACCAACTTTAAACAGGAGGAGGAAGTCGACTATATGTTTTTTTATGTGTGTTAACTCATAACCTCCTT